TGCGTGGGCCTGCTGAGGCTCCCGGAATGAGCCCGGCTCTTTGCACCACCGTGGGACCAGCTCAGGCTGCTTTCGCCCTGCTCTGCTCCAGCCCCTCTGCCCTGCCAGCTCTGGAAGGGGACCTCGGGGCAGCGACTTTGTGCCCTTCCTTCCTTTACAGGGAAGCCCCCAGCCGTTGCTCTCAAGCCCCTGCTCCCCTTGTCCTGGATTCAGGACACGCTCATTGCACAACTACTGACACAAGTCCCTGATGACAGTCGTATTCTCTTCAGGTAGCAGAGCCAGACCTGCTGAAAGCCTGTGCTGGGGCTGACATCCTCCTGTTTGTGGTGCCCCATCAGTTTATCGGCAAAGTGTGTGACCAGCTCAAGGGCCACGTGAAGAAAGATGCTGTTGGGGTGTCGCTCATCAAGGTGCGAGCAGGAGGAGCGCTGCCGGGGCACTGGGCCGAGGGGGCTTAGCCGGCAGCAGCCTGGCTCGGAGGGGCTGCAGAGGGAATCCTGGGGGTTTGGAGCAGAAACTGGGCTCCACGGCTGGGGGGGCATGGGGAGAGTGGGAAGTGAGGGCAGAGTCTTCATGGGGATTTGGAGGTGTGTTGGTGGAGGAGAAGGGCGAGGGCGTGTGGGGGATCTCAAGCGCTGTGAGGAGCGGGGTGCACCTGAGCGCTGGGGGGGCTGTTGGGGTGAGAGTCGGAGCACGGCAGCACAGGGAACGATGGGATCGGGGCAGGTGCTCATCTCTGTCCCTGGTTGTCTCCCAGGGGGTGGACGAAGGACCAGATGGGCTGAGGCTGATCTCGGACATTATCCATGAAAAACTGGGAATAGAGATGAGCGTCCTTATGGGGGCCAACATTGCTAGTGAAGTGGCAGAAGAGAAGTTTTGTGAAACAACCATCGGTAAGGAGCCAGCATCCCTCCTCGTTAGCAGCCTTTGTTTCTGACGAGCAGGAAGAGGTAAAGAGGTGACCGTGCTGCAGCTTAAGCTGCTCCTGCCTAGGGTGAGCCGGCCCTTTTTCCCTGTGCAGGCAGTGAGACTCCATAGGAGCTGGATGAACTCACTCACAGGGTTTACGATGTGATTGCTCGCTTCATTAAAAAGAGAGTTATGTGGCTAAAAGTTCCTGCCAGCAGGGACTCTGAGCATCAGGCAGTCTGCCTAGCACAAATTAAAGGGGTGGACACCAAGAGGCCCTTTAGAAATCGAGTTCCTACCTTCATTTCCTTGGGCTTCAAGGGACATGCACCTGGATCTCATGTTATTGCCAGCCAGAGCCGCTTGAAAGTTCATCTGGTGACTGTTCCTAACATCCTCCACACTGTTTGTCAATCACGCACAGCAGCCAAAACCAACAGAACAGTTTGCTGGGTTAGAAGTTACAGGATTCAAAGTGTCTGTATTTTAAACAAAAGCAAACATGCTGCGCAGGAGGCTGCAGAGACTGGAGAGGTATAAGCAGAGCACGCTATAACTGCGAGCACACAGAAACGCTCTCGCGCAGGAAACTGCAGGAACAGGGAGAACGGCAGCCTCCAAACCCAAATTTGCAACCTTTGAAGATGCCTTTAATCTGCTGGGCATGTCATTTCTGTCTTGCTTGACACAGCAGTAGGGATTGTCCCTGTCTTCTGGGAATTCCAAGGTTGAACCTTGCTTATCTGCCAGGCAGTGTGTGCTTGGCACTTTGTGGACCTGCAAACGTTTAGCAACATCCATCAGTTGGGCAATAGGTTCCTCTCGCTGCACGAGCTGCAAGGGCTATGCTGCAGGAACACACCACTGGCCAGGAGAGCAGCACAGTCCTACCTTAGGCTCTCCCCCATCATCTTCCTCCTCCCTTTGTCTCATCAGGCTGCAAGAACGTGCAGCATGGGCAGACGCTGAAGGCGCTGATGCAGACACCGAACTTTCGGGTGACAGTGGTGGAGGATGCTGACACTGTAGAGATCTGCGGCGCGCTCAAGGTGGGTGAGCCGCTCACTGGGGTTTGCAGGTCTTGGTTAGCAGAGCCTGCGGTTCTCTAGGGCTCTGCAGGGAGCTCTGGGGAGGAGGCTGCCAGTTGAATGAACCCCACTGGATATTGCGCTGTGGCTCGCTGAGACCTTTGGGGCAAAGGCCAGACTCTGGAGGGAACTGTGGTGTGTCCTGTTCAGCTGCTTGGAGGGATGATGATCGCTGGCACAGGCAGGGGCAGGCAGGAGCCTGTGCTTGGGATTACACAGGCAGCTCGTGGACACAGCAAAGCCCTGAGCTCTGTTGGGAACAGATCCCTCCACGCTGCTGCTGTTTTCCAGAACGTTGTGGCTGTAGGAGCTGGTTTCTGTGATGGGCTCGGCTATGGAGACAACACGAAGGCTGCTGTGATCCGTCTGGGACTGATGGAGATGATTGGCTTTGCCAAACTCTTCTGTAAGGGCCCCGTCACCTCCTCCACCTTCCTGGAGAGCTGCGGGATTGCTGACCTCATCACTACCTGCTACGGTGGCCGCAACCGCAAGGTGGCTGAGGCTTTTGCCAAGACTGGGAAGGTAAGCAGAGCGGGGAGCAGGCAACATTGATAGCTGCATCAACCTGCTGAGCTGGCAGCAGGATGGACCCAGTTAGAACCATGGCAACCTGCCTTCACTTGCCGAGTGCCACAGCCTGGCTCCAGGGAAGGAACGTGGGGCAGCGGATGGGGTTGCAGGGTCCAGCGCGCTCACTGCCGGGTTGTTTCAGTCTATTGAGCAGCTGGAGAAGGAGATGTTGGATGGGCAGAAGCTGCAGGGCCCCCAGACGTCTGCTGAGCTGCATCGCATCCTTAAAAGCAAGAACTTAGTGGAGAAGTGAGTGCTCTCATCTCCCTTGTCTGCTCTTTTGGGGTGGGGCTGGGATCTTTCCTGCAGCTGTGGGAGGGGAACCCCACCCGTAGTGGCTCTGCTGTTCAGGTCAATCTCTGCACTGCCCACGTCAAACCAGCTGGGCAGGAATGGCCGGTTGGGTGAGGCACCGTGCCACTGTCCCACCTGCTCCTGCCCAGTGGTCCCGGGTGTCGCAACAGAAGTTGAGGTGCTCTGACCCTGCCAGCTGCGGTGACAGGGCAAGGGGTGACTTTGTCCATCTGCCCACAGGTTCCCCCTCTTCACAGCTGTGTATCAGATCTGCTACGAGGGCAAACCCGTTACCGATGTCATCAAGTGTCTCCAGAACCACCCTGAGCACATGTAAGCAGGGTCTGCCTGCAAAACCACTGATCCTGCCCAGATGAGTGGAGAGCTCCTGCCCGCACCAACTCGCTCTGCTGCTGCAGCTTTGTAAGGAGTCCAGATTTCCTGGGAGCCTTTGCAGAGTGCTGGAAGGGCAGAGGTTCCTTTTCTCAGCCCTGGACACTGCCAGCCTGAGCCTGGCATCTGCACAGAGGTACCTGCTGATCTCCCTCTCTCTTTGAAGGGCTCGTTTAGCTTCTACTGCTGCCTAGGGCCTGCCCTGAGCAGGGCCGAGTGTCTTCCTCCTTTCACTTTCTCTTGCTGTGATGGATTCTGTTCTCGGAGGGACTCTGCCAGGTCATCTTGATAGGGATCGCATACGGGCTGTGCAGGAGGCACTGCCTGGGAGGACAAGCTTTGCTATTAGCCCTGTGGGGCCACTTTGCATGCTACCAGCCCTCTCCTGCTTGCTGCTGTTGCTTTTGGCTTAACTGTCCCGTGGCGAGGGCATGGTTCGCTGCCAGGCTCCACTAGGGCAAGTGTAGCTCCTAAAGACTTTCAAAGGGGCTGAGAATCGCTGCTCTTTCTGAGAAGTACCAGCACAGAAAATTGTATTCTTTGCCACCCTGCCGTATGCTGCTTCCCCAGCCATGGCCAGCTGCGCCAGCTGAACGGTACGGCCAATGCTTTGTGTGTGAGGGCAGCCCCAGAGCAAGACTTCAGAGCTTGTTTATTTAGATTTTTTGCTCTCACAATCAAACCTTGCCCCTGCACCCAGTGAACTCCCCTGTTGTCACAGATTTGCCTCTGCTAATTCCATGCCCACTGACTGTCCCCGGACAGCCCTTTTCCCTTATATCGTTTGTCCTCTGGCTGGCTTTGGCAATGCAGGGACCAACTGCCCCAAAGTCTTTCTGAGCAGCTGGCAGGCTGTGTCGCCCTTGGCAGCGTACCTGACAAAGCAGTTGGGTCATGTTGCTTTTAGATGAATGATCCATACTAGCTTTTTGCCTTCTTTCTGGCTTGCTCCAGTCTGTGCCTTAGCCTGGTCTTCGCTTCTACTTGGCTTTATAGGAGCTAAGAAAGCAGGTCCCACCCTTTCCCTGCCGCCCCTCCTGTGAGGGTGCTGGAAACTGCCCGCTAGCACAAGGGGCAGCAATGGACGCACAAGAGGTACACGGAGACCTCCAACATCACAGCAGAGGACAGAGGTCTCGTGCCTCATGCTGTGGCTTTGAAATTTGCCCCTTGTCCGGCTGGGTGCCGCGTGCCTCTCTGGTCCTCTGAAGCTGGCTCACTCTGCTCGTGTTTGCTCAGGCCAGCGTGTCCAGCGGTTCACTGATCCCTGTCTGAGCTGGCAGGCCGGAGCTGCTGCAGCTCTCACTGTCCACCCCCGGTCCGGGTCCTGGTGCTGCTGGGTCTCTGACTCACAGTGTACTTTATGAACATTTAAACTAATAATAAACTTGGAGAGGAGAGAGGAGACACGCTCTTTGCTCTGTGGCTGGTGCAATCTTTGGGTTGGTGCCTGCTGGACTTGCTAAGAGTGCAGAACAGGGCACTGTCCATTCCCTCCTGGCTCTGCACCCTTGTGTGCTGTCCCAGAAACAGGAAGAATGCCCCTGCAGGTCCCTGTTCAGTCACAACATAACACTGTGTCCCACTTGCTTTTTCTCAGCAGTGGTTCCAGTGTTAAAGTTTGGCTGTAGGACTGAAGAGGGTTGAGATTGCAATGTTGAACTGGGTACAGAATCTTAACTCTTCTACCTGGGGCCTGCAGGAACCAGGCCAGGACCCCACTGTGCCCCATGTACCCCAGGCCTCCCCTTCTCTGATGTTTTGGCTTCTCGGGACATGCTGTGTTGTTTTATTCATCTCTTCCCAACTGCTTTTCGCGGACTTGCCTTGTCCCCGTCTTTGAAATGCATCTCGTACTGAGTGACCTTTCCAGGAGTTAGCCCTCCGCTCAGCCTCTTGCTAGGGGAATTTAATCTGCTGGCACTGCAGTTGTTTCTGTGCCTTTTATTAGACACGCTTTCTCACTAGGCACCCTACGACCTTTAAATTCAACTGAGCTATCATACGGAAAGTAGCCAGCATCGGCTTCCTCTAATGAGGAACTTTATTGAGGTTGGAGGGAGGATAAAGGAAGTCCAGCGTGTTCCTGCAGGGCTGGCACAACTTCTAGTTGCCTTTGTCTTGAAGTGCTTCAGGAATCCCAGCTCAAGTGTTTGGACACGAGGCTCACAGAGGAGAGAGGGTCTCTGAGCTCTCCGCCCTCGACACGTGGCAATCTCTCACTTTGGCTTGCTAAATTCTTGCCAGCCCCGGCCTGGAGCTGCAGCAGGATCCGGAATTGTGTTCTGGACTTGCATTTAGCTGTTAGCTCCTCGGTCATGGAAGTGCTTTGTGCATCCCTGCTCCTGTGGGTTTCTTTGATGCTATGCGCTGCTGGCAGGGCCGAGTCCCTGCAGGCCTTCCCAGCATTTGCTGAAGGTCCCAAGTCTCATCTGGGGGTGGCCAGTGGACAAGTGTCTTGCTTTTAGATGCCCCATGCCTTGCACTAGTGCTGAAGTTCATGAGCTATAAAAAGTTTTCCCTTTGCCATTTGGAGTTATGTTCTGCAGCCTCAGCACATCCAGGCTCTGCAGGACGCTGCAGCCTCGGGAGCTGCTGCTGTGCAGTGGCCTGGGGAAAGGATGAGGGAGAGGGGCGGGTGGCCTGGCTCTTGCAGCCTCAGTGCTTGACAGATCCCTCAGCGCCGAGCCCTGCCGTGACAGCACTGTTCAAACGCTAGCAAGGAGCTCGGGGCTCGGGAGGAGAGCACCGCTGGGTGTCAAAAGCTGCCCTAGTGCCTTTGGAGGAGCACGGCCTCCTGAAGGAGCCTCGCTGGCTGTGAGCACAGGCTGGGCCCTCAGGGAGGGTGGCGAAGCCTCCGAGCGCCTCAGCAGGACTTGGCGTGGCCTTTGCTCCATCCCCTGTGCAGCTGAGGACAGTCCCCTCAGGGCTGCTGGCACCGCAGCCACGCAGGGCGACCTGTGGCGTGCCTCGTGGTGA